GAAGCAAAGTGGTGGGGCTTGTCGACTTGATTTGGCATATGAGCATTTCAGTGTAGTAGGCTTCCATGGGACTGGTATTACTTCATGGTAATTTAGCATTAGGTGGGAGAACGTTTGACAAGTTTTGGAGGAAACGTATTTACAAAATGCAAATATATTTACCACAATAAAAAGGCATTCATGATTATTCTTTTCCCCCTAATCAAATGTACTGTTGTCCTGTACATATCAACTTCTGATCAAACATTCTTGAATTAACTATGATCAGTCCTTATATGTAGTACCAACCAACAATCCATTTATTTTACCGGAACGAAGCAAAAATAAATCCAGGAGCACTCTTATATTAACTTCCACAGGACTAATATAGTTGAGTGAAGCCTCAAATATTAAAGAAGGCTTAGATATATACAGATACGGTTTGACATTTCTTTCCTTTTCCGGTACTTTACTTTTTACTCTCTTCCAAAAATGTAATAACAATAAGAAAGGAAAAAAAATGGTTTTCACGAGTACTTCTTCTTGCTAATTTCCCAGATACGGTTTACGAGATCTGCTTTCAATTCCTCTGGAATCTGAGATTTTAAACTTGATTTTACATTTTCTATCAACCTCCTCCTGCACATATGGTCCAAACCAAACCATATTAAGCCACGAAATGAATCAAAATAACACGATTCTAATGAAGCACGAAGCTAATAGAGGTTAAAAAAAAAAATCCAAATAGTAGCTCGACCAAGAGGAGAAAGAAAGTAAGAGTAGAGAAGAGCAAAATAACTCGGGTTTCTTTCACTTACTTTAAGTCGTTACCATCTTCACCATTTTCTCCTGATTGCTCTGTATGCAATCTCTTCTTGGCACGCATGGAGATCTCCACTTTATCATACCAACCACATGACCGTAAATATGACGACGCGTCTTTCTTCAGGCTGAGGATATAATATGCAAACATAATCATTAGCAAATGTCATCGGGTATAACAGGAGTATCAACAAAAGGCAAAAACCGAAGATACCTCTCTTTTATTGCTTCGAGTTCGTCCAGAGATGATTCGTCTTTTCTAAGCAAAATGCAGGGGTCTTCCTTTGTTGCAGAACCCAAGGGCTTGGACTGGGTGGTACTAACACCGTTCTTCTCAATTTCCTGGTGACCAGTTCCATTTTGTGATGATGGACGCAAGTTATCCTTGTGGTGATTATCACACCCATCCCCATTGCTGGAGCCATTACGCTCATGGGGATGCAATGTCGCTTCATGCTTAGTACTACTACTACCTGGTGCACTTCCGTTTTCTTTAACTCCATTGCCACCATTTTCAGTACCAAACTTTCTCTCCGACCCAGAGGAAACCCTAGCTGGCAAAACTGACGCACTATTCTCCTTGTCTGCCTTTGGAGCTATGTTCTCATCTTGGTCGAAAGATAGTCTACCGTTGCCAGTAGGAGTGACCCTTTTGGCACCAAGGTTGACAGATATACTGATCTTTGCATGTGGCTTCAAAGGAGCCTTTTCAACTTTGGAAGAAACCAGGTTATCKTTTTGGAGGGCCTGCTCCGTTCGTGGTTTCATATTAACATCTTTAAGGGTCCTAACAAATTTATGGGGCTTTGAAGAAGCCAGGTCATCCTTCTGTAAGGACTGCAAAGCTTGTGGTTTCAGGGGCCCAATAAATTTCTGGGGCTTTGAAGAAGCCAGGTCATCCTGCAAAGCTCGTGGTTTCAGGGGTCCAATAAATTTCTGGGGCTTTGATGTCTCACAGCCATTAGCTTCATGAGATGTAGTCCCATTGGATGCTACCAAATTTTTTGCAGCTGCTGACCTCTGGTTGGAGCGGCTAAAAAACAGAATATAAGCTTTCTCTGACAAAACCTCCTGCAATGTGGAGAGTGAGACGAGCGAATCATTGCAGCAATACCATTGACCCAAGGAATCCTACACACGGCAGTTGCGATGTTAGCAAGCAGTTCGAGGGATAGAATTGCAAGAAAACTGAAAAGGGACAGAAAAAAACCTTTACGTATGCATAATAGTGCCCAGATTCGGGAGAAAATCCTGAATGCACAATTATACCAAAAAGCTTGTATTCCGGTTGAGGGTCCTGCAGTTTTGATAAGAGTAATTGGGAAGTACAGTTACACTGGAGCCAGAATATTTTCACAAGCTCGAGCACTATGACAATTTAAAAGGTACATGAAAGGGCTGAGAATCATGTTGAATTTCGTACAAAAGAAATCCGGAGCATCAATTCAACATGTTTATCAGCGTATGACATGATCAAACAGGTTATAAAAAAAGCATAATATTAGACTTAGCTGCTTGACTATACTTGTCTCAACCTTATCTTCTTTTTTCTCCGACTTTTCTCAACCTTAACTAATTAGATATATTTGAAAGGTGATGTCAGCCTTATGCCTAACAAGGATGTCCATTTCTGTAAGATTATCAGACAGTAATTAAAATGATAAAACTTAGCCAACGTGAAAACTATAAACATTGCAAATTCATTATATATTCTATATGCACATCATATCAAAAGGCTTAATCAGGTTGAAACTCCACTTAAGCAGGTTGAAACTCCACTTAAGCGCTGCACTAAACTACTATCTCGGAAACAGGGAGATACAACCCTGAACTTTCTGATATGCCTCTAATCAGATATGCCACACCAATAACAGAAACTGGAAACAAACTTTAAAGTTAAGTAGAAAGTGTCAGAATCTTGTACCTTGCTTGCTTTACTCATGAAACTCGAGAGAACCAAAATCTCACCAAATGCAATGGCCTTGTCAATCTTCCCACCAAAAATACCCTCAAACCTCTGCAAAACCAATTTAGTAGACCACACATTAATATTCTCTAAAATCACGCTTACCATTTGAAACCAGAAACATGATACACTTACTTTCAATTGGATTACAAGGATATTAGGCGCTTGGAGTACTGACATCTGCTTCCTCGCCGTGACCAGTTTCTTACAGCTAGACAAATGAAAATTTCAGTTGAAAAAACATAACCACAAACTGAAACACTCTGAAAGAAAGACGACTAGAAGAGTCAAATCACTTACTTTTCGCATCTATACTTATTGTTGCCATCTAAAATCTCTGGCTGAAAGAACTTTTGCAATGATTCCTTCACTGAGTTACTGTGCAAAATTTCAAGACTGATATCCATAATCTCATCCGCTTTATTCGACTCTGCGCCACACGACAAACACTTCACCTGGCTCTGCAAAGCACCACCAAAAATCTCCTTCACAACAGTATTTCCATTCAAAGACTCAGCAGCAGCAGCACCATTCATCCGCAGCTTCTTCAGGCGTAGAGACGTATTGTGGCACGCATCAATCACATAACGCAAGAACTCATGAGCGTCCTCTTGACGCCCAAACTTAAAATGCTCGGCAAAAATCTTGACACAGCTCGAAATCTTGTTAGGCGCATCGCTTATTTGATCCACACTAAGAGACCTCGCTATTCTTCTCTCAACTATGCAAAAAGGACAATCCCGTTTCCTCTCCCCATTCACATACGAATCGCCTATCAAAAACAGAGATAACACGACCAAACAAAAGCGTCAGAGATGCAAAACAAGAAAGTGAAACTACAACAGAAGTATACAAAGCAACTAGATATACGAAACTTATGAGCAAGTTCGTAAAAGGTAAAAGGGGGTAAAATTCGATTCACAGATCAAGCAAGAGAGAAGAAAGAGGCGTACAGAGAGAGGAGTGTTTGTGACTAAGGCAGAAATTGGCGAAAGGAGGAGTGTAGGTGAGGCACTGAAGAACACTATTGAGGTAACAGGTGTTGCCGAGATTCCTTAACCCTAAAGGCGGGCCGTTCCTCCGCTTCTGACTAAGTAGACTCGGCATCCAGCTCATCTGCAGTTTAAATCCCATCAAAATCGGTTATTCTCCGCCGGAGATAACCAATAACGCAACCGCTCATCGCTGACTCGCCGCCACGGCGAAGCCAACACCTACGATCGCATCTCTCGCCGCCACCACGAAACCAACGCGATTTCTCCGCTTCTCCT